AATTCCTTTTCTTCCATTATTTTGGAAGGATTTTGGAAAAGAAAAACTTTATTTGCCAGTATACAGGTGGCAGTGCTTCACCCTGACCAGAGAACTGAATTTGGTTCTGGCTTTGTCATTAAAAAGGTAAAACAAATAAACTATTTGGGCCATCATTTTTCTCATATTAAAATGAGAGCTTGGTTCCTCATTCCTTAGAGACTTAGCTAATCTCTAGCATTCTTTTTGTGCACAAAATTCTAAGATATGCAGGCCAGTTGATTTAAAAGGACAAGAGGCATTTATTCAGACAAACGAATTTCCAGGGCAGTCTTATAACCAAAGACAATCCAAATCTAAAATAATAAATGTAGCAAGATTAAAAGACCTGAAAATTAAATTAAAATTTCAATTAAAAGACCTGAAAACAACCATACGTAATCTTGTAATTAGGCAGTTGATCAGATAGGTGTTTTATCACCTTTATTTCAAACAGGGTTTTTTTTTTTTTTGGCTAACTGGACAAATACCTTTTGGCTTTTAGTGGTGTTTATTTGACCCTTTTTTTAGCAGGGGTTTTTTTTTTTTTTTTTTTTTTGGCTAACTGAACAAATACCTTTTGGCTAACAAATATGGTTCCACATGCTACAATAAAAATAAATCTTGAAAACATTTTGATAAGTTAGAGGCCAACCACACACACACACACAAAAATACATATTATGTAATCTAATTATATGAAGTGTCTAGAATAGTTAAATCTGTAGAGAAAGAAAGCAAATTAGCAGTTGCACAGGGCTGGAGTATAGGAGAGATAGGGAGATTGTGGTGTGATAGCTAAAGGGTACTAGGTTCCTTAATGAGGTCATAAAAATGTTCTAAAATTAACTGGTGATAATAGCACCATATCTGTGAATATACTGAAAACTACTGAATTGTATGCTTTAATTAGTGAATTGCATGGCATGTGAATTATATCACAATAAAACTTAAAAAAAAAAGTTTCTATAAGTTTACCCTTTCATGGAAAGACCAGAGTAAAAAGAAGAAAAGTCTTTTAGAGGTGACTGAGCAGAAGTTTTACTTTTTTTATCTAAATCAAAATAGGCTCCTAGTTTTCCAATTTGTTTTCTTTCCCCTTGGAGACTAAAGTTGATAGACCTCTATTGTCTACCACTGAAGGCTGAATAAAGTCCCCAACTTGGTCAGTCTGTTATTGGCGGGGAGGGGGCAGGGAGTGGGCAGGGAGGGGCAGAGAGACACAATGCCCTCTTGATTGGAAGAACATATCTGCTTTTAACCACAGGCTATATTGCTCTAGAATACAACTGAGATTGACTTATTTTAGATGTTTCCCTAGATTGACTTATTTCAGATGAGTCCCAGTTGGATAGTCCCTGAGACAAGACTAAGCACTGACAACCCCGCTCCCTTTCTGATGAAACATCCAAGGGATCCTTTTGCTTTGTTTTAGCAAGAGACATTGGCCTGAAATTAAATGAAGCTGCCTATGCTGTCTCAGTGCCATGCTCAGTTCTGGCTTTTTAGTTTCTGCCTGCTTTCGGAGAAACTGATAGCATTTCTCACATTTCTGATTGGAAGGAAAACTTCTACAAAAAGAGGAAACTCCTCAGTCACATCTAAGAGGGTGTCGGTAAAAATAAAAGATGATGGAGCTGTGGACAGAAATAACCCACTGATGGAGCATGTGAGATCTTACTCCCCAGCACATATCATCAAGTTGGCTCAAATAAACTCTTATAAAAATTCTAAGAAAAAGAAAGAAAGAGATAACCTATTGATAAAAGCAATTGTGAGTATGTGTAAGAGGACAGAAAGTTCTGAGATTCTCTGAGACTCCATAAGTCAAGGGTAGGTTCCCATTAAACAGCTCAATATGACTGAGTCAGGTTATTAAAATTCAAAATATCAGTTTCTCTCATTCCCATGGTTGGGGTGACATTTAGTCCACTAACCTCCAAACCCAAGTGACAGCAGTGAGGTTCCACCCAATTTCATCTTGATGCACAATATCCAGACAGGAAGTAAAACAGGCATGACCCTGACTCGCACTTCTTTTATGTCAAGTTTTGGGTTCCAAGGTGTGCTCAAGCTATCATTTTCCCCCACCCCCAAACATGACACAGATGTGTGGTAATAATTTCTTTAGAACAGAGGTCCACAGTCAGGTATACTGACTCAATGCTGCCTGAAAATATTTACTGAGATTCAGACCAGGATTAAGAGATGCATTGTCAAGTGTTCTGCATGCTGGGCAATGAATGCTAGTCAGTGTCTGGGACACAGCCTACCACATGTTAATCGATGAAGCCAGGACATTTCCAGTAACCCACACTTGAGCACACTCTCATGCTTGCCTGAAAACACTGTTTGGAAAGTATTCCAAAAGTCCCAGAAATAAAAATCTCTTTAGATCAGAAAATCTGACTTAGAGAAATTAGAAAATGAATTGGACTCCTATATTTAAGAGTAGAAGGGGGACGTGGTATGTCCCTGCCATAAAATTCTACTTAATTTTTTAAATTTGAAAAGTAACTCGGTGTATATTTTTATGCAGAGGACCACCTGAATTTAAAAACAGGCATTAAAAACCTGTCCTGAGCTAGATTGTAAAGCGTTCATAGCTGGCTAGAACCCAAACGGGTGGAATATCTCAGTCCCCTCCATGCCCCCCCAACTCCCTCCATCCACTTCTGGAAGCGACAAGCAAAAAGCATGTGGGCAAAATGCCCTGTTGAATGGAAGGATCTCTCTGTTTTTAACCACTGGCTTGTGTTTCTTTCGGATACAACTTAGAAAACAAATCAGATGCCAGATTTCTTCACTCTTATCTCTTAATCATGTGCAAAATATGCACATTCATACTCCACCTCCTCACTTACCTTTGCCTCTGTGTTAGAGAAGGATGAGTCACACACACAAACACACACAGAGTATAAATCATCTGGAGAGGATTTCCAATATCCTAGGAAACAATTCTCTCTGTTTTTGGCACTAAGTATTTTCTCTAGGAAAATATCTACCTAGTTTTTCACAAGTTTCTATAGGCCAAAATGTTGATAGAGTAACTTTAAAAAAACCTTATGACAACAGCCTTAATTCAGAACAATATTTATCAGCCTGTTTTCCTTGGACCATCTGAAGCTGAAAAACCTTGAGGTTTTGTTAAAAATGCAGATTCCAAAATCTTAGCCCAAACCCCCTGAGTCTGGACCTCTGAAGAGAGAGTCTCTGCATCTTTAACAAATTTCTCACCTGATTCTGGTGCACTCTAGAGTTTACTGTATCCACTGGTAAGATTATAACAAACACTCCTATCATGATTTCACAAAGGTTAGAACAATGAAACCAAAATCTCTAAAAGTGAATAACTTGTATCCTTGGGATTTCTGAATCATATCCTAATGCTTGCTAATTTTTGGATTATAAATCAAAGAAGGCAAAAGCAAAAAGTCAAAGTATCTGTGATACATAATTTTTGCTATCAGATGTATATCATTCAACACCCTCCCCCATGGAAGTTCCAAGTTCATGGTTTTGCAGATACAGAGAAGTCTATGTTTAGCTTACAGCTATAATTGTCTTTTCCTTCTAGCTACATAAGTTTATTGTGGTGTGTCTCTGCTTAGATTCTATCACGCAGTAGTGAGTTTTTGAAGATCATTTAAAACAGGATTTTACTAATGAGGTAACATTAAGTAAAAAGGTCACAAAAAAATTAAGTTCCAGCTTTGTAAATAGAGATATGTAATGGGAGACTGAAAGCAAGTAACCACAAATCATCAGGTTTTTGTGTTAGGGTTAGCACTCTCTCCTCTTAAGTTATCTCTAAATTTATGTTCATTTTTAAAATTAAAAAATGATAATAAACACACATTTTAAATGTTGACTTCTCAGTTAAAAATGTCATCACTTGTAAAATTTTAACTTACTATTAAATCAACTTTAAAAGCACAAATAAAGAAAAATGTATTTATAAGCCTCAAATCCCAATATAACTATTTTAGTTTTTCCATTTTCCTTCTAAACTTTATTTACAGGCATACATACATGATTTTAACATAGTTGTAATTTTAGTTTATCTACAGATTTGAGTTCTGTTTTTTCTACTTTGTGTTATTTTATAAACATGTTTGTACACTTCTGCACAGCTTCAGAATTATTTTAAAGGCTATATTTTTAAAAAAGTTGATATACTATACTTTATTCTTGTATGTAAGAACACCTCTGCTGTAGCTAGTTTCAAGTTATTATAAATAACAGAACCATATTTGTATATGTTTTTTTCTCTTCCTTTTAAAAGAAAAAATGATTTTACTATTTTGAAGGGCATGAAGATTTTTATGGCTCCTAATTTATAACACATTTACTTTCAAAAAATGATACCAATCTTCATTACCATAAGCTATGTGAAAAAGAACTGGATTTCTAAAAAGACTGAGAGGTGTTGAGGTTTTTTCAAAGCCTTTCACTTTATTTTTGTTACTGTTTTAATTTTTATTTCTTTATTATGATTAATAATTTTTAAGCTATCAATATGCCAGGCACCATTCTAAAGGGTTTACACATACAAAAACCACATTTTTTTTCTCTAGGAATAATTTATAAGCTCTCAATGCATGAAAGCTATAAAAATCTACCGTCCATATATATTAAATATTATAATAAAATAAAAATTTTCATTTTCAGAAAATAAATAATCTTATTTCATAGAGGTGGAGAGCCATAGTAAAAGTACTCTATTCTAGATTTTCCAGCATATTCAATTTTTGTACCTCGGAATAACAAGTTAAGTCAAAGGAATAAGAGTTTTTCATTACTGAGAAAAATAATTTTTTTTTCAGAATTAGAAAGTTCATTTAGTCTGTATCTTCTTTTTAAAAAATGATTGGACGAAACTTTAAAAAGTTCATTAAGGAACTAGGATGATAAAATGCAAAATGACAATAATTCTAATAACTTTTAAAGTAATTACGAAAACCATTCAATAAATGACCTACCTGATCTCACCAAGCACATCAAACTGATGAAGAAGTATAACCTCAGCATATGGAAACTGAAGAGAGTGTGTGTCACATTCATAAGAAGAATGATTTCCTTCACAGAGCCTTAGAGTTTGCACTGAGGGCTTTGCTCAGAGAGAGCTCAGATAACTAATCCAGCGGTCTGGTGACAACAGGAAGTTCCTGAGAGACTGCTGACAGTCCCAACCCTTTCAGGATATTTGACTCCTCCTTTTTTCAATAAAAGGTCAGGTACAATTCTATCTTACACAGGTTTATGCATATCTTAATATTATAATACGTATTTGCAGAATGACGAGTTCAAAATAGTTTCATTCTTCGTGGGCGGTTTATTAGTCGTTTGGCTTGGTGTGTTGAAATCAAGTGTGATCTGAGATATTTTCGCCTGCTGTTCTTGTGAATGAAATAAATCCGGTTAATATTCTGTTGGCTTGTGTATACAAAACTGATTTTTATGTTAATTCACATACTCATTCCTTACAGGGCAGTCTTAAGGTTTTATTAAGAATGTTTCATTAAGTCCAATCATATACCCATATTTGCCAAAATATATTTCAGATCAAGGGAACCTTTTTAATGATATTATATGTCTTATTTTTATTTCTTCTTACCTATTAGCTCTTTTTTTTCCCTTTCTTTTCTTTCTTTTGAAAAAGTAAAAGCAAAGACTTTAAATAGAGAACTACGCCAGAATCCATCCTCGGTGTTGGAAGTAACTAAACTCGTGCTCCATAGCTACAAGGCAATTTAATCCCTTTTCTGGTAGAAGTGTTTACAACACTTACTTAGACTTCTGGTGGTCTGATGAGCTTAAAAATAAATTAATAAATAAGAAATAAAGACATAACAAATTAAGAATATATTTTCATCCAAAGCATCAGGCAAAAGCCACTTTAGTCATTTAGGATGATCTATTTGGAGTACGAATTTATGAAGTAAGAGCATCTCTGGTATGTTTATCAGTTCTCAGCAGCCCCTTTTACAGGGAATTCCTTGTAGGAAGTTGATGCTAGCAATGCTTCCCAAGGAATCAGTATATCAGAAACACCTGGGGAGCTTTAAAATATTGTGTATATGTTTCTGTGTCACACCTCACTTAATGAATGCCAAGACTTCCTAGCACAGGTCCACTGACATAGATTCAAATCCCAAGTCTTCCACTCACTAGTTGTGTGGTCTTAAGGAAAATATTTAAGTTCTGTAAGTCAGCGTTCTCAACTGCAAGATGGAGATAATAAAACCACACATCTCGCAGAGTTGTTATGTGGATTAAATGAGATATAGCTAAAGTTCTTAGTACTGTGCCTACTACCAAAGTTAAGTGCATCAGCCTCGGTAACCATTGTTATCACCTAACTGGTCACACAATCTGCACCTTTCCCCTCCCTCAGAAGGTGGGCTGCACAGCGCTGAGAGGGGGGATCAGGTGGAGAATCTCTGTGGGATTTTAAGAATGGAGGGCACCTTACAGTGGTGATCTTTCAGGGGAATGACTTTAGTCAGCACTTTAATCTCTTTTCGTGTTTTGTGTCCTGCTTGGAGAAATAAATTAGTGAGATGTTAATAGGAAAACCAGCTAGGTGACCTACTAGCTTGTTTACTTTTCCATTTGCAAAAAGCTTTACTAATTTGAAAACAGCAGCCCTCTGGAACAAATGAAGAATTGTTTCACATTCTCTTAAGAATTGGTTATGGAAAACATTGCTCCCTGTTGGATCGGTGTACTTGCCTGATAAATGTTTGTTGAGCTCTTATCAGTTTTAGTACTATGCGAAGTGTTTATCTAGACAGCCAACATACATTTTCCCAGAAACTAGCCAATTATAGGAATAAAAATCATTTCCGTGGGTAGGCTTTGTGTTACTTTTAACATCTTTGTGTTACTATTAATGATTGTTCCACTGGCGGGCACATAAGGTCCCCCAACTTCCTAGCTGTATGCTCCTTTCTACTTCCAGCATTCAAAACAGCACAAGAATCAATGAGAGAACTCACCCCCTCTTTTTTGGGTTAGTGAGAAATATTAAATATAAAAACCCCAAAACATTCCAAAGAATAGGGGAAGGGAAGAGAAAGGGAGGACTTATGGGAGAATGGATGTGACTATAAAGAAGTAGCACAAGGAATCTTCGAGAGGTGGGTTAGTTCTGTCCTTTGATTGTGGTGGTGGTTACAGGAATCTACTCATGTGATAAGATTGCATAGAAACATAAACACACAATACATACACACACACACACACACACACACACACACACGAGTGCATGTAAAACAGGTAAAATCTAAATAAGGTTTGTGGAGTGTACCAAATCAATTTTCTGGTTTTGATAGTGCATTCTGGTTACACAAGATGTTACCATGGGGTGGGGGCAGTAAGGATACACATGCATCCCTGTACTATTTTTGTAACTTCAGGTGAATCTGTATTTCTAAATAAGTTTTTAAAAATTCCAAAAGATGGGCCAAATCATAACCATTTGAACATTAACATTTAGTCAGAGGTATTTTTTTGAGGAAAATCATTTCCTCATTTCTCATCAGACAGTCGCAAATGAATAATGGTCATTTTTCTCAATACTATGACCCTGATAAATGATCACAACTCAAGAATATCACAATTTTCCTCATTTCCAATCTTATATTATTTACTGGCTTAAAAAAATAAAAACCTAGAAATCATTCACTACGGAGAGCAGGGTAGAAAGTAGGCAAGCTTCCAAATGAATGGACAGGAAAAACAGGTATGGAAGTGTAATGGAACGGAGGGAGGGTGGTTTTATAATTCTCATTAGCTTCAACAGTCAGAAAAGGTGACCTATGTCCCCTCCTGCCCTGGGCTAGGGCTCCAAGCTGGTATATAATTCACTATAATATTCTTTTTTCTTTTTTCCACTTTGAACAAGAATGTTCTTTAGTTGTACAAAGCACTATAATTTTCTCAACATTCTTCACTCATTTCAACAATCTTCACTGTCTTCATTAAACAAATTAACAGTGTCAAACTATACTTCACTACCTGTCAGCCTCCTTAGAGACAAATATGTGCTTGGAGTACTAAATGGAAAGAAAAAAACTAAGAAAGGTCAACAGAGATACTTTAGAAGGAGTTAAAAAAGACGGTTGGTGTGTGGGATGGGGAGGGATTAGATTTCTGAGCACCATCGATTTCCCTTAAGGTTCAGAGAAGTTTACAAAACCATTTTTAAAAGACATGAGATCAGAATCAAGAAATCAGAGTAAGCTGCACTTCGGGATATTAAGCAAATTATCAAAGTTTCTGGACTGGCAGAAGTGAGAAAAGGAGGGAGAAAGTGGGAACAGGGAGTAGAAGAGAGGTAGAAGAGAAACAAGTGAGAAGCACAGGAGAAAGCTGTGCCTAGAAGAAATAAAGTTTGGAACTTGTCATGAATTGGAAGAATGAAAAGCTGTAGTCACAAGTCTGGGAGATGGACTACAAGATGATAAAGCCTGGAATTTTATACCTTCCAGGTGACAATAAATCCTATTGGCAGAGAGCAAGGTATGTATAAGACTAAACCATCTTCTAAGAGTAAGACGCTGGCATATTTGACTAATTCCACCGTCTACTGCTGATTAAAAAGCACATGTACCCACGGTACAGCCACCCCACAGGCCAAATGCCTATAAGCCATATAGAAGGGCCCCAAGCCAAGTGGATCTGTAAAAAACAATATTCAATGGTTACTGTTAAGTAAAGAGACCACAGAACACATTTCACTGTTTTCCCATGGCTTTTTAGTAGTTTCCTAAAGGTAAGCCATTCTGACCACTTGTAATAAGCTGTATTGCCAAATACTGTACAAACAGGCTGACCATGATCTAAACCTCAATTTTTCCTGAGCCTTTGACTGCCTCAGTGATCTAGAACACAGCAGGTGGGAGAGAATTGGGAATCAAAAACTGCCTAATCATATACATAAGTAAACAAAAGAGATCAAATCGATTGATTAAATTATCCATTCAGAATTCCTTTTGCCAAAAGGTCATAACCTTTAGACTGATTAAGCATAACAGGATTTTGCTACTCAGAGCATCTGAGTCTGGGAAGTGCTGGTTTTGATCTTTCTAGCCAGTTTTCATTTTGATCTTCTCAGGCTCTTCTGCCTAAGGTGCTCTGTCCAGTAGGAAAAAGCTTCACATAAACATATACCACATTCAGAGTAGTACCTTTCAAGGTGCCACAGTTTCCTCATCCTATTCAGTTGTTTACTTCCTCCTCTTCATTCTGCTCTTCTTCCAGTTTTTCCTCATCTTCATCGTTGTCCTCATCCCTACTCTTGTCTTGCTCTTCTGAATCTGTTTTTTTTTTTTTTTGTCTTTATCCTTCTTCTTTTGCTCTGAAGCTTCCTTCTTGCCTTTCTGTTCCCTCCTATATGCTTCCAGAGCTTCTTTTAACAGGATAATGAACTGCTGGAACTCTCTCTCCTCCATGGCTGAGAGCATATTACTGGCATTCAGTATCTTGCATTTCCCTTTCATTGCAAAGTTGTTGGCATAGGATGTGGCATACAGCACAAAGACGCTGGCAGCACGGGAGGTGGTGCTCCAGGCCTACTTGGAAATGTTGACACCGTCCAGGAGCTCCTCCTTGATGATTCCTGTGATGACGGCATTGGGTAGATTCAGGTCCTCGAGCCTCTCCGCCATTGCTGCAGCTTGGCGGGCCCTCCTCCCCGGGGCCTCCTACTCACTATAGCATTCTTTTGTCTTTTCACACACATGAGTGACCCTGCCACCTCTCACTTCGGTCCAAATTTGGAAAGATAAGTCTGTTTCCTTGATTCAGATTCTGCAAGCCAATTAGGGTAACTTTTCCCAAATCCATTATTTGTTTCATTTCTTGAGTTTCCATTTAGGAGATGGCCCCTTCCCTCAAGGACACAGACACTTTAATGATAATATTAATATAAAGATATGGAAACACATTCCATAAAAGAACCGAGGAAGCAGTAAGATGCTGGGAATCCTGGAGAAAGGAGCCATTGGAAAAGCTTCGCACAGGAGGTGCCTTTTGATCCAGGTTCCAAAGACTAGGTAGGAATTGGAAAGGTGAAGAAAGTGGAGGAAAAGCATTCTAGGCAGAAGGAATAAC